AGCTTGGAAAACGCTTTCTGGCGCTAGTAGTTTAGTGGTAGAACATCAGCTTCCCAAAACGGAGTCAAAAAGCTGGTAGCTCGGGTTCGATTCCCGGCTGGCGCACAAAGTTTTTTTGTATCTGTTTTATGAAAGAGTTTTTGTTTGCTTTATTTTTCTTTTGTACAATGAGGGGCCTGCCCGCTGCTTTTATGTGTGTTTGTTTGTGTTTGTGTGTGGGGTAAACTGGAGGATTACCAAGACTCGTCATCAGAGCATGGCGAGCTCTTTTTCGACGCTGTGCGAGAGCGGAATACTCGGCGGCGACGAATGTTGCCGACAGCCTCCTCGTTGCCACGCACAAAATTGGCATGAGCAAATATGGTCCAAGTGCACTTTGTGGGGTCGTAGCGGGATTTGCGGGCGTCGCTAAGGCGCTTAAAGTTGTAGTCGTTAAAGTTTTTGTTGAGTGAAGCCAGGTCCTGTGCCTTGAATCCCAGGCCTTGCAGCTCGCGCATGAGGCGAATTGGGTCGTTGTAGCGCAGCTTTGTGCCATCCTTACTCCACTCGATCCACGTATGACCCTCTTCCAGTATTTTGTACAGCGCCTGCGGGAATGTGGCGTAGGGCTGGTCGGTATTGACTAGTCTCCAGACCTCCATGATGAAGAAGAAAAAACAAGTGTATAAAGCCGTGTGAGGTAAATGAGAAACACGTGCAGAAAAAGCGATGGTGATGTCGAGAGAGAGAGAGGGGGGCCTTTAAAGGACTCTAGGACGGACGGGCTGCGCAAAAAGAATAGACAGCTGGGCTGAGTGGAAGGGCAGATGTATTGCACGTGGAAGCAAGGTGGGCCAAGTCAAAAGAAAGAAAAAACAAAACAAAACAAAACAAAAAAGATCCTTGTTCACAATAGCCACCAGCAGGTGATTTGCAGGGGATGCAATAACAAAAGGGCGAAAGAGAGCCTTTTGGCACTCGTGTTCCGAGAAGTTGCAATCACGCGCTTGTCTTTCGGCTCATTGTATCCTTGTACCTGCCTCGCCAGTGCAGGGTTTCTCAATCACAGCTCCGCCACCCGTCCACTCTAGGCCTACTTTCGGCCCATGCTTCCGTTTTGGCAGCATTCCGAAGGATGCCATTGTAGCCCCCCGCATGCGACTTTTCCCCCCTCATGCTGCCGAGCACCATTGCTGTTTTTGTCATCCATTGCGCGTGTCTATTGTTCTTTTGCCGACAGCTAAAGCTACTTTCGGTTGTCTCATGCGGCCCCGCAATTATTGTGACAATGTAATGCCCAAAATAGATCCACGCCTGCTGTGCCGTACAACGCTGCTTTTTTGAAGAGATACTAGAGCCCCAATAATTTATTTCAAAATAGTAAATAGAGAATGCTTAATAAATAAACCCATGCATGCCGTAAGAGTGTTTCTTGCGTCAACATCCTACAGTTTGGCTAATGGCACGTCGGCATATTCGCCATTGTTATGGCCTTCTACCCATGCCGAAAATCTAAAAGTGGGTTCAGTAGTATTGGATGCCCCTTCAACCACAAAAAATAGGCAAGGAAAAGGGAGCTCACCGTGGATAGCCACCAGTTTGTTCACAATTAGCTTGTAGTAATATGGGTCAGGAATATCAATGGCGTAGTAGGATTGAGTTATCTTGAAGCTCTTGTATTGAGCTTCGTCGTTAGCAACAATATATCCCTTTATATTCGTTGGGTCATCAGGCGATGCTATTATCTTTTCAAACATAATTCAGATTTGTAAGCAAAGCAAATGGCAGGTACAAATTGGTAGGTGGGGATAGCTATGAAGAAGAAGACAACGGATGGCGCTTCTTCAGCTTATTTTATACTAATCGTGGTGGATGACAAATGTGCTCTTAGCAGTCGGAAGGGCCTACTTTTTGTTGCAGTCGCTTGAAAATCTCATGGCACCTTTGCTCAAAGGACGACCACTTGACAAGCTTTCCAGACATTGGCAAAATTTCGCTCTTATTGCTGGCCGTGAGTTAGCCAATGGGAACAACCTCTGGCCATGTGAAAAGCTTTGATTGTGGAAAATACTTGAAATGTTGGAGCTTTGCTTGGCTGGCACCTATACACGTGCGTTGTCTATAGGCTAACGGTTTTTATCTTCTCGTGCAAGCTAGATTGACTGTCAGTCAAGGCCATTTATATTAGTATATCGATTTCCGCTTTTGGATAGAAACTCGATAACAAATATTCAGGCATAGCCAGCCGCCAAGCTCTGCGAGGGGTTGTCTGTTTGGCAATAGGAAACTTGTAGGTACCTTTAATCTAGATATACTCAGGTGAATAATTACGCCAAGAGGAACAATGGAGCAAAGAAGTATCACCTGTCTCACTAAAAGCGCAGACATAATGCCTTAAAGACGCTGGGCTTTCACGTCATCAGCCCCGTCGCAAAGAACCTGGCTTGCGGCGATATTGGCATGGGCGCAATGGC